CTCTACTCCTCCTACTCCATCCTCTTCCATAACCTCCTCGGCTTAGTCCTCTTCTGCTGCTGCGTCTTGCTCCACATCAACGGATAGGGGGCGTAACAGTGATTAAACTGATAACAGTAGTACTAAACACACCACTCACTCACTGGTGTCACAATAGCTTGGATTTAAAAACAAATTTTTTTTTTTCACTGTTATAGATTGAATAGCAGTTAGTTATCTTCAAGCAGGTGTGTCAGCCCTACAGCGTGTACTCTGCCAGTACGCTGCCACCTCCTCTACTCCTCCTACTCCATCTCTTCCATAACCTCCTCGGCTTAGTCCTCTTCTGCTGCTGCGTCTTGCTCCACATCAACGGATAGGGGACGTAACAGTGATTAAACTGATAACAATAGTACTAAACACACCACTCCTATCTGGTGGCACATTAGATTGCACGCGCAGTGCCCCAAATTTGTTGTGATCTGTGAGTAAGGTAAACGGTTGTCCATACTACTATCTTGGGGAGGTTTTTACACGTTCCTATATGGCACTTACTGAGCTTTAGGGTCAGTCCGGACTCCCTAATCCGGTCTATTACGGCTCCTATGTGGGTCAGGTGTTCGGGCCAGGAGCTGCTAAAAATGTCTATACCATCCAAGTAGGTGTGTATCCGTGTGTATCAGGGATCCTTAGGACAGGTGTCAATCCATATCTGCCAAGTGACCCTATGTTGGGGTAACATTCCCTATTCTGATCTGTGTCAGTGTGTATCATGGATCCTTAGGACAGGTGTCAATCCATATCTGCCAAGTGACCCGATGTTGGGGTAACATTCCCTATTCTGCTCTGTGTGGTGTGTATCAGGACCACTAGTAGGAGCGTAGGAAGGTATTAAACTGATAAAAATAGTACTAAACACTCCACTCCTATCTGGTGTCACATTAGCTTGACCGCGCAGTGCCCCAAATTTGCAGTAAGAGGACCGACCAAGCCTCTTCTTCCATCTCCCTGTTACAAAAATCAATGCCGTGTACACGTCCACTGATAGGAGACGCGGAAGGTATTAAACTGATAAAAATAGTACTAAACACACCACTCCTATCTGGTGTCACATTAGCTTGACCGCGCAGTGCCCCAAATTTGCAGTAAGAGGACCGACCAAGCCTCTTCTTCCATCTCCCTGTTACAAAAATCAATGCCGTGTACACGACCACTGATAGGAGACGCGGAAGGTATTAAACTGATCAGAACAATACTAAACACACCACTCCTATCTGGTGGCACATTAGCTTGACCGCGCAGTGCCCCAAATTTGAATTAAGAGGACCGACCAAGCATCTTCTTCCATCTCCCTGTTACAGAAATCACTGCCATATCCATACAAATTGTACAGAATGTCCAGGATAGTTTTCCAGGGACAAATGTTGTCGCCTGTTGAACGAGGTGACCTTGCTCGGGTCCCAGGTGTACGGTTCCTAAAATGGCTGCCATATACACGTCCACTGATAGGAGACGCGGAAGGTATTAAACTGATCAGAACAATACTAAACACACCACAAATAAGGTTTCTCTCCTGTATGGCTCCTCAAATGATGCTTAAGATTAGAAGCGGCTGAAAAGCATTTCTCACACTCGAACAAAAATATATTTTTTTAACATTCTCTCCACTTTGAACGAAATGACGTTTGGGAAGAGATTAACATAATTAAACACAGGCAGTAAAAATACAGTTTTTAGCCATACCTTGTAACTTTAAAACTACACATCCCATCTTCATAATTACATATTTGGAATCAGCACACTTAAAACATAAACATAACCAAAAATCAGCCAAATCCATCCAGGGGTTAAAAAGTTAGCTGGAGGTCCCTTTATGACCGACCGCAAGCACATTTTCCTGCCCAAAACAGTTCCATAGATTTGGGCTGTGAGGTCGGTCTATTTCAGGCTGAAAAAACGACTAAGTCCCATCGCGAATGGGACTTAGTCTCTGCAGCTGAAATAAGGCTGAAAAAAACGGCTGAAAAAAAGACTAAGTCCCATCGCCGAATGGGACTTAGTCTCTGCAGCTGAAATAATTTCCCATTTACTGAACCAAGTGGGAAATAGCAAGGCAGGCACAAAGGGTTTGCACCAGGTCTGGGGACACAGGGGACACCGTCTTAAAGGGGCCGTGTCCCCAACAAGTCTGGGGACACGGCCTTAAAGGGGCAGTGTCCCAATCTTCCTGATGTCCCAAAAAAGGTGTTTAAAGGGCCAGCACCAGTCACATAAAGAGTCCATAAGCCCCAATATGCCCACCGACAGTCTTAAAGGGCCATACACACCAAATAAAAGTGCATACATTTTCACAATCTCCCAGGGGCCATAGTCATGCGGGAGGAGGCTGGCAAATAGGCTTCTCCACAACCCAGGGAAGCAGGGCAATTTGCCATTTAAAGGGCCCGTTACAAATAGCAGTTTGTAACAAGGTGTCAATCCATATCTGCCAAGTGACCCGATGTAGGGGGACCAGTCCCTATTCTGCTCTGTGTCAGTGTGTACCAGGGAACCTTAGGACAGGTGTCAATCCATATCTGCCAAGTGACCCGATGTAGGGGGAACAGTCCCTATTCTGCTCTGTGTCAGTGTGTATCAGGGATCCTTAGGACAGGTGTCAATCCATATCTGCCAAGTGACCCTATGTAGGGGGACCAGTCTCTATTCTGCTCTGTGTCCGTGTGCATCAGGGGCTCTGAGGACAGTTGTCAATCCATATGTCAAGGTGTCAATATGTCATATGTCAATCCTTATTGATTGTGATTTAGGAATGTTAGGTGATTTCTGCCCTTTATGGATTAAAACCAGACTCTGTATCAACTGTGTAATTTTCCATGGGAGTTTTGCCATGGATCCCCCTCCGGCATGCCACAGTCAGGTGTTAGTCCCCTTGAAACAACTTTTCCATCCCTATTGTGGCCAGAAAGAGTCCCTGTGTGTTTTAAAATTCGCCTCCCCATTGAAGTCAATGGCGTTTCGGGCGGTTCGCCGGTTCGCGAACATTTGCGGAAGTTCGCGTTCGCCGTTCGCGAACCGAAAATTTCGGGTTCGCGACATCACTACTTGCAAAGTAGTTCTGAAAAACCTTGCCAATTTTTTATGGGACATCACTAAGGATGTCTTCCGTGGTGCGTATTTGATAAATTCTCTTTGATTCTATAGTGAGTTTAAGTTTACAGACCATCACAGAGTCTGCCTTATTTCCTTTTCTGATAATATTTTAGTTTTGTCCAACACAATGCTCTAGCAGTGTCCTTGAGTGTTTTTAAGGAGATCCCTGGCACAGTGGGTTGCACAATGTGTGCAGGGGTCAGGTTTGTGCATGATTTCTAGGTGGTTCAGATTGGACATGGCATCATAGAGCAGTAGGACGTTTTCTTGCCGGATGCTATAGAAATCAGTTTCCCCCAGATCCACGTTTTGTGGGCTACACGAGTGTTCATTGAGTGTGAAGTATTCTTGGATGTAGTTTGTAATCGTGTCTATTGTCAGTTTGTCATGTAGCAGCAGAGTATTGAGCCTCCCATGTCCAGGATCTCATTAACATGGGTACAGATAGGGTGAGGGATATGTTGGCATGGTCAGACCACATGTTGCCTATAGCGGTCTGTGTGGAAGGCTAAGTAGGTGTTGTGTGGGTGGGAGAAGAATGTGTAGTCTACTATCGAGGGGTGCTAGGTACGCCAAATGTCAAGAAGGTATGTGATAACAAATCTTGCAGCCCAGAGGGCCAGTGTGTGTAGACTGTAGGCGCACTGCAAAATTCATTTAGAGAGGTCCGGGGTTGTTGAGCATGACAGTGGGGCAGTTGGCAGTTCAGGAGGAACCATATGCAGTAAGGTTGGAAGGCATCTTCATATCCCTCTGTAGGGTGACCCATGTGGAGTCATGTCATTGGTTCAGAGTGCCAGGGTTAGTAAATTCCAAACCAGTATATTTATGGATAGTAATAGGATTTCAGGGGACTATGTGGAGAGTTCCCAGAATTATAAATCAATCAAGGATACCATATTTGTTGGCTTGATGTGAGGGTGGCAAGGCTATGCCAGAGCAACGCATACATATTCAAGGTATAAGAACAAATAAGTATACCCTAGTAGAGAAAAAAATAAATAAAAAAATCAACACATTACCCTTTCATAGTAATATTTGGTTAATAGAAATAAAGAATTGTGAAATTAAGTAGCTCAGAGTATAGGGTCAGCACAGATTAATGGTGATTATGCTCTACGGTTTCACTGGGTCATAGGATCCTGTCAGGGTTGAGTAATGCACAGTTTAGGGGTGCCAAATGGATGCTTGGAAATCCGATAGAGAGGTTTCAGGTAGGTCTTGTGGAGTCCATTAAAGTTGAGTTTTCATCCAATGGAAGAGGTAGATATAGGGCAGTGTAATGCAGGACATCTGCTTCTCGATGGCAAGAGTTCTTAAAGACACGATAATGGAAATGCATTGGAGGTGGTGGGTATGTCCAGGCTATGTCTGCTTGCTTCTGAAGGGTGATTGAGAGTTAAGGTTTGATTATCTTTGCAGACCACCAATTTTAATGGATGGCCCCAGGAGTAACGGATCCTCTGTTGTGATAGGAGCGGGGTTAGTGGTTTTAGTTCCTTGCGCTGGGTTGTGGGAGCTAGGTCATGATACAACTACGCCGAGTGTCCTGCAAGGTAAGTCTCGCACTGCTCTCATCAAGGCCTCCTTTGTATGATAGTGGTGCAGGTGAACTATTATATCTCGCGGTTGTGTTGAGTTAGCTGAAGGGTTACCGAGTGCTCTGTGAGCGCTGTCTAGGATATGTCTAGGATAAGTCTGGGAGTAGGCCCTGAAATCACTCTCTCAGTGCAGCGGAGAGTACATCAGCAGAAACTGATCCAAGAGCCCCCAGACTTAGACATTATTTTGACGTGACTGGTTATTGAGGTCGTCTTGGGACTCTTCCTGGGCTTCTGTTCGGGCTTGTACATCTTGTATGGCCTGTTCGTGTGAGTTGGAGGTCAATATGAATTCTCTTGGCCAAGTCCTACAGACTATCTCTGATAGGTGTCAAATGTTTTATAAATTCAGAGGACATTCGGCCCTTGATTTCTATCAGCATGCTCTGTATGTCTCGTCTTGTGATGGGGCGGGATTGTGACTTGTGTCGCTGCCGTCTGAGTCCAAGTCACACTCATGGTCTCCGCTATGTGACACCTTGTGGCCCGGCCTGCTGCGGAAGATCGGTGCAACTGCCGTTTTGGTTTTAGCCACCTCCCATTGTGCCATGT